AAGCAATCAAAAAATCCACTCATTTTCCCTTTGTACAGGTAGCAAGCTAATGGAATAGAGCTATTTCACACACAACTTGGGAACAGAAGAAAAAGAAAGACCCAGAGAAACACGTGAAGATTGTAATAAAGCATGTGCTGGTGATTTGCTGAAGGCAAGAGCAGGAATGAAGAATGAATAAAGAGAGTTTGGAAACAGCCGTGACATTTTGGGACAATACTAGTTTATCTATCTGTAAGTCATGTACTTCCAAATCTTATTTGTGACTGACATATCAACTCCCATTCTCTAGCTGCATTTTTGGCTGATGCCAGCATTTTCTCTCCAATTAATTCATGCTGCTGTAGTAAGAGGATGGAATAAAAAGAGACTCATTGGCTATAACACAGCTGTAGTTAACAGTGGAAGCAGGGAAATTATTTGTGCTTCCTTGGTAGCCTTGGATAAAGTGACATATAGATAGCATATATACAACTGCAACAACCATCTAGCAAACAGTTATAGCAGGATCCTGCAACCATTAAAATGTTTAGGAAATACTACATGTAGTTTGGGATGCCTACAGCAATAGCCATGGAAATTCGAGGAAATGGCCACTGCTGTATGACAAAGAGCATCTCAGTCTTTTCCATCCTTCCACTTGTAGATAAGATTTATATCAAGCCAGCACTTTATCCTTCTGCTTACTTGCAGAAAATAGGCTTAAAATTAAGATACTGCTACTACCTCTGCCAACTGTCTTGTATCATCCCATTTTAACTCTCAAAAGTTTGTAAAAATCTCATAATTCACTGTTTAAAAATGCACTTCACTCATGCTGTGATATTGAGAACCCAGAAGGCATGCCAAAGCATTAAAAACTATTTTGCAGTCCTAGTCTAAGGACAAGTAAAAAGTGTTTAAGTAAAAAAAGTTGTTATCCATCATATATATTTATGCAAATATTTATCTTTATACCTCAAATGTTTAATAATCTTAGAACATGAAAACATGTCACTTACATGCACAATAATGTAGTCAGCACCTAATATTTCTGGTAAAATAGAAAAAATGGAAGGGTAGTCTGTGCAGTGATCAGACTATATATATATATATTTTTTCCCCCTCAAGGCCCTGAAAATTTCAGGAAAATGTGTCCCACTGAATTAGTTTTAAATAACAATAGTCATAAGATCTACATATATCAATGAATTCTGCTGTGAATGAGTATTATTTGATAAAGAAAATACACGAGGGGGAAAAGTCCACATGTGCCAATGTGCCAAGAGGCAGGTTTATCAATAGGAGCTCAACAAACCCTTAAAAATACAGCATGAAAACTACATGTACACCGCCCATGCAGCAGTTTATACATCTGTTTAAGTTCACATATGAACCTGCTAAGAATTAGACGCCCCACTTCCAATCCTCAGTTGGTAAACTGCCCTCCCCTGGAGTAGTGTCTATATGGTAGTCTATATTACAGTGCCATTCTACATGATAATTATATTGCTTATTATTTCTTACTTGAAAATAAGAGATCCTCTCCTTCCTGCTATTTCCACACTTTGCCTTCCCTAGCAAAGTTTGTCCATGTATACTAGAATAGAATTTGACCCTTCATGAACTGAGCAAAATCCTTTTCCATAAAACCACTAAATTAGAAATTGGATAAAATTTGAAGGTAAGCCAGTTGCTTACCTTTAGACAAAGTAAGCAGCTTTAGACAAAGATTAACCATTAGTTCAAACTCATTCACATTTTGATTTTTGTTGTAAAGTATAATAAAAAGTACAAACACACAAATATGTACTTTTCTTTAATCTTTGTAAAGTATCTTCAGCTTTTGAAATGTTACACTGTCTGAGGAACCTTTATGATACACTTGGAAAATAAGCAAAAAAATTCCTAGGAATATAGAAAGTTTAATATTAATCTCACTAAAAAATTACCAAAAATGGTGCAGTGAATAAAGCATCCATCCAAAATGAGACATGCAACAGAGATACTGTGACACAGTATGTGTTACAGAATTAACATTTAGACAGCAATGTTCTGACAATACCATCTGCTTATTTTTTTCTGCAGCTCATGGCAGGTGATCTTGAATTTCTGTTCAAGTCAGTGTAGGAGTCTGATTTATCTTGACATTAATATTTACTAGGCTGGTGTAAGCTTAAGATACCTTTTAAAATTTGCTTTAAGTGACATTGAAATACTTCCACTTCAAATTGAAGACATTAACCACTTGCACATAACAGCAAGATTACAAAAAATAAGTGGGATACCATTCAGATGGAATAAATTCATCAAATAGTATTACTGTTCTGATTAGGTCATGTATTAACAAAATTACTTTAGGGTAAAAAAACCAGTAACATTTTTGCTGGTCATTGGAAGAATAAGACACCTACATGAAACTTGTTCGGGTTCTATTAGCAATTGACTTTAACTAAAAAAGCACAAGAGATTTAAAAAAATTGGACACTGAAAATAGATTTTATGAAAAAATCACTATGTGATACCAAGACAGTCTAGCACTAACAACATCTGTCTTACAGACTCTGGGTACATAGGTAGCATTATCAGTTTTTTTTTTTTTTAAAGTTTTGGAGCATATCTTAATATTTTAGTGATTTGATGAAAGAGTAAAATTTTGCACAGCCTGTTAACTTCAGATCTATTTTATGGCTGCATTGAATTATTTTGATTCATGTACTCTTCTTAAAGTCAGGGAAGGGATGTAGCTAAGAGATGACTAAAAGGATCAGTGTGAATCCTACTGACAAAGTCAAAAAGTTTCAAATTCAGGTCAGAACAACTTGCATCAGCCAAGCTTTATCCATGTGAATGGGTTTGAGGTAATTACTTATATACAACTAAAGATCATCTGTAGCTCAAAGTAGAAACCTAATTTTATCTTTTATCCGCAGTGATTTTTTTCTCACTAAAAGACACATATCACACATACCAGAGATGCTCTAAACAGGTACTATGGTCTAAAGTCATGGTGTGATTAGCGTACTTTCAAATTAAACTGGCCTGTTACTCATGCACTTCTATATTAGCAAAGGCAAAACTCAAACTGTACCTAATTTCCCCACAGTACAGGTATTTTTTCAAAACACTTCCTTCTCCCAACTATTTAAAGGACAGATGTGAAAAAGAACAGCAAGAGACAGGAACACAGACATGCACAATTTTGCCACGTCTAAGTTTTTGTTGCAGATATTACTATGTTTATAGCTGCAGTTATTCATTCCACAACATCTTCCCATACCATGGTGAAAATGTTTATATTTTGAATACAAACAAGTATTGTAAAACATAATCATTATATTTTAAATGGATTTATTCTTCTCTTAGGAGCTACAGGAATTGTTGATGCCATACCTAACAATGTGCATTCGTCCCTGCAGCCTCAAAGTCCTTTTTCCATTGATGCTGTTTAGGTAAGATATTTGTGACAGCATTTCTACAGTATTTTCCACTCAGCATAATTATTCCCCTATTGACATATAAACATTTTTAAATATAATTACAGCTACATATTTCTATAACCTACTCATCAGTTGATTCCTGCCTCTCACAAAGATTAACCAGTTTGGACATTCATAGCACCATAGGCCTAAATCTTTGGTTGAGTTGCAGAAGAATGGTGGGGAATGATAAGTGGAAATGATTATAACAAGCAAATAATCCTTAATTTAGCCCTGTATAGAGTGAATACTGCATTCAGCATCCAGCAGGATGTGTGGTCCTTGCCATGCTATTTCCTCTCAGGACAGAGGCATCACAGTATGCCTAGACTACCTGAAGCTTGAGGTAGTAAAGTCATCTTTGGGCATTCATTACTAAAGGAAAATTCCTTAAACGTAATCACCTGGTTAAAGCATGTTCCTACTGTTCTCTATAGATTAAGCTATGGAATTTTTAAGGATGAATTTCACCTCTTTAACATAGCTCACAGGTAAAACTCTTCTGTTTACCCACAAAAAATCCTATTAGCAGTGCATTTGCCTGCACACACCTGTGTGAGCATTAATAAAGCTTGTGAAGACTCTCCTCACTTAACCAAGGCGTTCAAGTCTACGGCAACACATCTACGCAAATTACAGCATAGCCAGAGGCTTTTTGATAAATTCCCCATTTTTTTTGAAGGGAATTGTATTAAAAGGTGCAAATAATTTAAATAAAACATTAAGTATTTCAATAATGCAAACTACTTAGGATGTATTTAACAAAATTTGTATTTATCAGAAAAACAACTTATACCCTTGCAGTAGAACACTTTGAGCACCTAACTGAAATTATATGTAAATTACAAAAGCAGGAAGTCTGTTACAAGTAGGGTATTTAAGAAATTTAATTCAAGCACATTTTTAACTTTTATACCTTTTGCAATGCAAAGTTAAGTGTTTTCATTTCTATCTACACTTGACTGAATTTAGCTGTGCCTGTTTTCTTTAAATGACATCAGATTCTGTAGAAAAAGCTTATTTCAAACTCTTACTTCAGTCTCTTTAAACCTCACTTCAAGCCCAGCATTGAAATCACACTTAATTGAAGGTGGAGTAAAATAATATATAACTATACACAGAAGAAAAGATTGGAATGAATAACCCATATACATAACAGCACTATTAATGAAAAACAACTATTTCAGTAAGAATAGAAACAAAAAAGTATCATATAGCAATCACAGCAGTATAAGGTAGCAGAAAATACTATGTCTGAAAGCACAGTACCTGTATTCAGAATGACTAGTATAGTAGATAAGTTTTGCCAGCTTACTAGGTTATTCCTGGGGGTAAAACCTACAACTTCTTAATAGAAGGGTTGAAGACTTCCTCAAAACAGAGTAAAACCTTGTTTGAAGAATTAATTTTTCCAAGGCTACAAAGAATCCAGATACACAAGTCAAAATGAGAAGCAAAACACTTCAAAAGCAACTCTATGAAGAGCTAACAAACTTAAGAACATTCAACAGCAGTGTACAAAGACAAAATCTTTATACTCACATCTTCCCCTAGAAGGAATTTCCCTTCCTCACCTTCTCAGTTACAGCCTCAGCTACAAGACCAGAAAGAAGGAATAGGTGATGCTGTGACTTTTTATAGCAGTTCACTCTTGGTTAGCTGCACTCTGTCAGCTGTGCTGCATTATGTGATTCAATTATTTGTTTCTCACCTTGATAATTAAATCAACATCATTCCTCTGCTCACCATCCTTACAGCTGAGGCAGAATTTAGGAGCAAGCTCATAATGCCTTTTGCTATAGGTGAGTTATTTCCTAGGTAGCTATTTCTAGTAATTCAGCCCATCCCTCTGACAACTGATGACTATTGAGACAAACAAAAGTTTTTTTTTTTGTCGTTGTTGTTGTTTTAAAAAAAGCCTCAGGTGGCCTGAATGAAGAATCTCAAACTGGGCATGCTCCTTTCCCCTAGTCCTTGGTCCTGATAAATAGCCCTTTAAAGGAGGCTCTTGCATGATTTTTAATATGGAAATGGGATTTTGAGGTGCCTTTTTTTTCACTTTTGACTTTTGTGTGGTGTGTTTGCATTTGTTCTGGGGGAAAATGGTATGTATTTCTGTTGTCCTTTGCTGTTTTTGCTCAGTAGGATTATTTTTGTAGCCTTTCTAAAGATGGTGTAAAAGCAGGCTTTTAAAAGTGGTTTTATGCACTAATCTTTTAGGCTAGTGCCTGTCTTTCTCTAAGAGCTGAATTGAATGTATTTCATTATATGAAAAGAAGCTTAATTTTAAATGCTGAAATAAATAGTCAATGCTCCTTCCTCTTTCCTGGATTATAGCACTGTTGTCCCAATTGTGCAAAAAATACTGAGACTGTTTAGGATAGAATGTTAAGAAAACCTAAACTTTAGGGGTGTAAGAGTAATACTTCTACAGAAAGGTTAACGTGGTTCTGTTAGCTCTGTGTGTTGTGGTTTTTTTCTTTATAATGATCTGTGAAATAGAACCATATCAGTGTTTTAAGGTGTGTCATCTGGTAAGCAGTATTTATCAGCAGTTTTAAAGTTAAAAAACACTGTTTATTAAGAATGTTATATCTACTATAACTAATGACTACTCTTCAAAGCACTTCTACTTTCATCTTTTCCTCTAGGTTAATGCACGTTTCTGAAGCTGAAGGAAAAAGTGAAGTTCTTCCTCCAACTATACACAAAATAATAAAAGGGTACAACAAGTATCTGCGCCCTTTTTTTGATGGTAAGTACAAAAACCTATGTCTTTTAAGCTATAGCCTTATAGTAATCTGAAATCTATACTGCTAGGATCTACAGCAATACAGTATCTGGAAAAAAAAACTTTGTCTTTTTTTTCTTCTTCCCCTTTCTGTTTTTCTGGAATGCTTGGCAATGATTAGTATGAGGGTATATGCTTTTATGTGGTATGAGGAGGCTTAATGGGTTTTGTGGCCCAAGGTGGCCTTTATAAATTGCAGGTATTCACAAGTAAGTCTTCCACACTATCTGTTAAAAACTTAATGTCCTCTGTGTAACCTATCAAAAAACATAATGTACCCTAAGCTCTCAAATAACAACTATGCCAGACTTTATTTAAACACAGAAAACTTGATGTATCATTTTTGCAACTTTAAAATTGTTCCAAAAAGTACTGGTCAGTCTTTCTGTAGTATGAAGTATCATATGACCTACCAGAAGATCACAAGGGAATTATTTAATAAGTCTTCCTTGCCTTAGGCCTTAAAGTTCACTAGATGCCTCCTTGCAGAATTGTAAGGAAAATGAATCTAAAAGGTCATTCCTGAGGCTGGGAGGACATGTACACTGTGTTGGAAGAATCACTTTATCTCCTGTGCTAAGGCTGGTTTCTCCTGCCCTGTTAGCCTTATGTACCTGAGGTTTCAGTCACAGATGCCTTCCTTGCTGAATCAGACCAGTTAGTTTATTTGATATTCAGGAGTTATAGGGAAGGCAAAGGCAGATCTTTCTTCCTGGGGCACTGCAGAACTCTGAGCAGAAAGTAATCTACAAGTTATGTTCAGAAATATCAGAGCTTTTAAAAGAAAACTTTTATAGCCCTTTATATAATCTCTCAGAAAATACTGGCTGAAGAGTTTCTCAGACCACCTCTTACTATCCAAGCATGTGGAGAGATGACCAGCAGCCTTTCTGATAAGAGTTCACAGCACATGCAATTTATGAGTCAACTTTATAAAATGCTGTTAGAAACTTTTGTTTTCTGCTTTTTATTGTAATTGTTTCAATAGCTGACACAACTGTTTTGAAATATTTACATGGTCATTGGGAAGAATGAGCAGCAAAATCAAAATAATGATAATAAATAAAGATGACCTTTTTCACTTAAGATAATGTGTTATGAAAAATAATTTAGTGACTAATGCACATATAGATAATTGATTTGTCACCTCTTTGTGGTACTAAAGATGCGTTTACATCACCCTGATACATGCACTTTGGTAGACTGGAAACAGACTTCTACTACAAAATTCTTGTATTGTAGTTGAGACTAACACTTAGGCATTTTATGCAATGGATCTCCTTTTTCTAATTGGAACAGAATTTCTTCTCAGCTGCAGCAGTGCTAAGCCACAGTCAGGCAATTACATTTTTTTCTACCTGGGAATTTTGACCAGGCAGATGTTAAGGACTTTCTGTGTTTATTTGGAAATCTCAGAGGAGCATAAGCACAAATCAACTCTCTATCATGTGCAGTGCAAGTCAAGCACTTTCAGATGGGTCAGAATTGCTGTGTGTGCTTGCTGCAGCTCAGGCAGGCAAACACTGTCTCAGAAGTCCTGCATAGATAGATATTAGCCATATTACTTTAATCTGAAAGATAGATTTTACTGATGGCATCTTTAAATGCAGAGGTGAATGCTATCTGAGACATGGCATTTTTATAGGAATAACTTCTATATAGGAATGACATTCTATAGGAATAACTTACAGTAGCTTGTTGGTCCAAGCTTTGAATCTGCAGATCCAAAGATGATTTGAGAGTGATTTATGATTTGATCTGTGATTTAAGAGTGGCTGCCTGTCCTAGGTGACTGATAGCCAAGCACATGGGCCATCTGTCCAGCCCAAGCCCTTCTCGTACTAGGAAGGGGGCTGCAGCCCAGATTAAGTTGAGGTCTAGGGCAAGCTATGACTCTTCTCAGCTGGTAAGCTACCAATATCCCCAGCTTACGAAGTCAGTGGATTAAGTCAGTCATCTGTGTGGCCATAGCTGGTGTATCTTTGTTACATGTAACCTTGTGCTTATTTCTGTGGATATTATCTGCCTGCAGCTGGTGTACTTTTATATATAAAGTAATTTCTGTGTTTTAAAGCTGGTGAACTTTATATGTTCTTGGTCAGAAAGAGATTAAGTATAGCTGACTTTAAGAGTTGTATCAGTGGCTTCAATATTGTTGCTAAATATAGTTTAGTCATTTACTATGTGAACGTACTGTGTGAACTTATTGCTGTGGTATGCTAATTGCCTATAAATAAGAGCCTGAGCAATCAAAAATAGATTGTAAGACAAAAGTTCTGTCTAGAAATCTTTCAGCTAAAGAATAAGTGAAGAATAAGAAAATAAAGTAGGTAGAAATGGTAGAAATGTTCAGTTAGTATAAAAGTGTGCACAGTTCTCATAATAGTAGTTGGAGTGTTGATTTATGTTGATAAGGAAATTCCTGTCACTAAAAACATAAACAGAAAAGGACATATATGCGCGTTAACACTAAAATAGATTTGTTTACTGTCTCAAGTATATCCTTGAATGTCTGAAGTGCGTGCAAGGATTTACCTAAAATGAGCCAAGTGTATGTATGCTGAAGCACAGAAACACACAGGAATGATGTCCTGAAAGCTTTCATTAATTTTCTTGATCATTTTTTGAACTTTGGTCTCCATTTACGAACAAGATGAGTAAGAGCTTTGAAACCTGAAGTTAACTGTCCCACTGGGTCCTTTTGTCCCAGTGTTGCTTGTGGGAAGGGGGAAGCCTGAGACTTAACCTTCCTGGAGCCTGCACTGAGTTCAAGAACCACACCTGCTTCTTACTTTCCTTCCTATTAAAGTACGAAGTACATCACTGCCCTTCGTGATGGGTCAGATCCTGTTTTTCAGTTGTCCTCAGGGCATGTTTATGGATTTGTCAACTCAGAAATGTAGGTTCTTTCCAAACTCGTGAATCCCATCAGGGTCCAAGCAGGAGCTCAACACTTCACTGTGCTGGTTAGGAGACTTGGGCAAGGACAGAGTGCACTTGGAGTCTAGAAACACCTCAGGTCAAACGAAATGAAACCAAATTTCAGGAATGTCTGTTTTTATCAGACTTGTGGTTGCTTGCCTAGGCCTGCCCAGCTTTTCTTTTAGACAGTTGGGTCTCTGGGGAGTCTGAAATTCCCTTGTTTTCAAACTAAATGTATTCCTGCTTATATGTATGATATGCATCCAAAAAAATACACCAGAAGAAATTAGTCATAAAACTGGATTATATCAGTTATTGACTTCCACTGTGCTTTGACCTTATTGTTAACTAACTACAATGAGATGCTGACACTTCAGTTTATGAAGTGAGATGGGCAAGAGGTTAGTGTCTTAGTCATTTGGAAGTCATGTGTTCTTGATTTCTTTTTGGTGGTGGTGGTTTTTTTATTCTTCAGTTTAGGCGGAAAATAATTCTTTTTACATGATGCTTGTCACCAAGACAAAATCAGGCTCTGGGCATATCTGTGACACTGAATTCTTTAATATTTATCAAAAAAGGTTTTTTATTCTTGAAAAGACTACGTCATGTTGAATGCATGAAAATGAGGATCCTGTTTTTTTCCTAAACAAAGGGAAAACAGAAATATTTACTAGTAAAGGAAATATCATGGCAGCTAGTACTTATTTTAACAAATTCATTGGCTGATTTGTATTTGCCACTTGTTTTGGGAGTGGCAGATGAAGGATGCCTAAAAGATTGCTTTTTTTTAGCTTTGCAGTGAGCAGTACCTTGCTTCACGGACTCAAGGTTCATGGATTCAGCTTCCAAAAACTGGGGTCTTTATTTTGTCTGCAAAAATGTGTGACATCCACTATTGGATGTTTTTTCTGCATACTTATTAACATGGGTCAAGTAACATCTGCCTCCTTTTTCAGGAGTTGAGTAAATTCTGTTCTTTAATTTTCACATCGTAAAACTTCATTATTCAACTTTAAGAGTTTTCATCTCTATTTTCTGTCTTTGAACTGTCTACTGTTTACACAATTTTTAAAATGTGAGAAACAGAACTTGTCGCAATAATCAAATAATAGTCTTGCAACAACAGTCTGCTCGTGCAGTCTAGACTGTAAGATAACTTAATTCTGTGCACTACTCTCCATTGCAAAAGTGCTTTTGCTAAAGCATAATTCTGAATGCTCATGTTGTGTGATTGTGTGACAGTCCCTAAATCCTTCTCAATGACATTGCTTGTCAATATAGGTTCTGATCCTTAGGTATTGCCTGCATTATTTTTTCCCAAATTACTTGCATTCATTTGACTGTATTAAAATAACATCTTGCTTATTCTTCAATAAGAACTTTATTCCCACCAATTTCTCATCTGCAGAGTGCCTTAATAAAGAAACACAGCTATCTCAACATCTTTGATAGGACCAAATGGATTTGAATATGAATCCTACCAGTAGTGGTTCTGATGTTTTATATCTTCATACCCACAATCAAGTTGGAGACGGTCAGAAAGCCCATCTTAATATTTCAAGTCACTTTGCATAATATATTTTTCTTAAATGCCTTGTAGGTGGGGAAACTGCATGTCAAAAATCAGAGCAAGTCATTCTTGTTAACAGGCCCCCTAACACTCTAGAACCAAACAGAGTCATGTGAACAAAAATGAGTATTTCATAAAACTGTGAAGTGTTATTTTTACTATTTCATTTAATTCTGTTAGTCACAGTATTTTATGTGGTATTGTTGCAAGATTGGTGCATTATTTTAAAAGAAAATTCCTTTTATGAGAGACTGAGCATACCAACATCATGATGACAGCTACCTAGATAAGATGTTTAATCACACTGGATAAATTAATTTTAAGAGGACAATGAAAGGACTGGCATTCCTTTACAAATGCAAGTATTCACACCGTGAGCTATATGCTGAGAGACGAAAGTAAAGAGGTTTGTTAAATTGCAATGACACAAAATTGACAATATATTCTTAAATAGGAAGTAAATGCAGACATTTAGACATCCCATCTGGATATTAACCATGTTGAAACAGCCAGGAGCAACCCCTTACCCTGCAGCATCTGATGGACCAGATGTTGCAACTGTAAGAATTCTTTCCACATCTCTGCACCTTGGAGCACAGGGGTGTGATGTACCGTGGGGACTGCACATGAAGCACCTTACTGTGCAATGTTTTCCTATTGCTTTTTTCTGGGGCGGAGGGAGGGGGAAACCCTAAGACAATCTTCAATATCTTTGTATTTATTAACATAGAATCTTTATAATTTATAATAGAATTTATAATATTTATAAAACATTTATATTAAAACTAAAATTATATCAAAATAACTAGATATATTTTTGATATGAAATCCTTTTTTTCTTAATCTAAATAAGAGATAATTCATTTGGGGAGGGAAAAAGGAAAAATGGAAGATACTTTGGAATTTTTTTATAGCAGTTGCTGCTGATGAACACGGAGTATTAAAGAACTGTGGGCTGGATTCTGACTTTTATTTATTTATTCTGCAGATGGTCCTGTGTCAGTTGGGATGAGCCTGGATATTGCGAGCATTGATACAATATCAGAAATAAACATGGTATCATTGCTTTTGTTTCTTGTTTGTAAGCTGATAAGGTTTTGTATTTCCATTTGCTAGCAATGGGACTTTGAGACTTTTTTCCTTGTACAGTCAGTGCTATTCCCTGTGTGTTAGGAGATAGCATCTGCAGAGCTGAAAACAAAATTCTATAGTGCTTACACTATAATAAATGCCCATGTGCTAAAAATGACTAGTTTCTAGATGAGTGCTTTAAAGTTCTAGTCTAGCAGATACAAGTCAAATATCTCATTAACAGAAATGATCTGCCACCCAATATTAACCATCTCTATGAAAGACATAGAGCAGTAATCATTTTTGAAATGAAATATCTCAGTTCCTATGAATTTTAGAAAATCAGAATACATTCATGTGTGCCTGTGAAGCAACTCTTTCCATGTGTTTAGCCACAGCTGAATTCATACTACTTTGTTCTTACTGTGACTCTCAGAATCACAGTATGGTTGAGGTTGGAAGGGGCCTCTAGAGATCACCTAGTCCAACACCCCTATCCAGGCAGGGACACCTAGAGCATGTGGCACAGGGTGGCATCCAGGTGGGACTGGAAGATCTCCAGAGAAGGAGACTACAACCTCTCTGGGCAGCCTGTTCCAAGGCTCTGTCACCCTCACAGTGGAGAAGTTCTTCAGCTGGAGATGGAACTTCTGTGTTTCAACTTGTACCCATTGCCCCTTGTCCTGTTGCTGACCACTGCTGAGAAGTTTGGCCTCATCCTCCCTGTAATGTCCTGTCACTTTTATCCAAGCTATATTTGTTTATATTTGAAATATACCTTTTTGAACAAAGGAACATAATATACTCTTCTAATTAAAGATCCAAATTTGGTGCATAGAAATGTAAAACTCATCAGTATTTGATACTGGTGGGGGAGAAATACATACACACTGTCCTTTATCATTTGGTATTGTTACCACACTTGAATATTCAAATCTGTTGTATACTTTGCAAGTGTTCAGATATTAATAAATAAAAAGGTGAAAGTAGGGTCAGAATTTGAGAAGACTTTAAAATATTTGAATTTAAAATTGATAAAAATACCCTGTAAAATTAAAAGTTTATTAAAAAGTGGCTAAGAAGCATCCTCATTAGGATGTAAAGCTGTAAGGCATATTTAAGTTGAACATGATTTGAGGGTTCCTATTGGACTTTTCTCTTTTATGCATCAGAATATGTACAACTTTTTCTATATATAAAATTGCCTGTTAGTTTATGTAAAACAAATGATGCTTACAGCCACTTATACAAATTGTTTTAAAGTCTAAAGATTTATAAGGCCAGATTATCCTTTGGCAAAGCTCTGACTTCAGTTGATTTATACTTCCAGAATGAGGCCCCCAACATTTACTCTAAAATTCAGCTGGGCCAAAAGAACGAAATCTACTCGAGATAATATTTTTTTATGATGTCAACCACACATCAAGTGCTGGAACATTTGGCAGTAAAAGAGCTAGTAAAGCGGCTATCCGAGAGCTGGTGTTCAAGAGTGGGACAATAGCTCATTCCATACTCTTAAAAAAAACAAAAAAATAGTGCTATGCTGTGTCTAATCATGTCTCTTGTTTGTTTTTGTTTTTCAGGATTATACAGCTACCATATTTCTAAGGCAGCGATGGACTGATGAGAGACTTTGCTTTGATGGCAACAAGAGTTTAAGTCTTGATGGTCGGCTTGTAGAAATGCTTTGGGTCCCGGATACCTTCATAGTTGATTCAAAGAAGTCTTTTCTTCATGATATCACTGTTGAAAACCGTCTTATCAGAATATATCCTAACGGAACAGTCCTGTATGCCATACGGTAGGTAAACACCCCATATTAGACATATTTTGGACTTCTACTTGTCCTTTCACTTATCATGCTGTCCAAGTTAGCAGTATATATTTTTTATGTGTTGTGCCTTTAGAAGGGTTTTATAAATATATGATATGGCTGACCAATATGATTACATTATTAAATAGATGTTGCTTTCTTCCCTCAATTGGACCTTTTGTTTTACATAGACCAAATTCAGGAAATGCCTTTTGCTCTGGCAGTTGCTTCTCAGTGAAGTTTTCTCTAATGAAAGGAAATGACAGGTTGACATGCTTCATTGCAGGTTACCTTTTGTAATAGATTTTGATAGACTTGACAAATTTCTGAAACATAATATAAAATATAAAATAAAATATATGCTGCAGGTGAGAAGAGGTAATGATGTTTTGAGGGTGATACAACATAGAAATATTCTGGAGTGATTTCTAGTCTGGATGCAGTTGATACCTGTAAATACTGTATTTTTTCCTGTTAGATATTTTCCAACAAATATTAGTTCAGAGAATTCACATGACTTAATTTTACTTGTAGCGCTGAACATGTTTTCCCGTTAATAACCAGCAATACTCTGTTTTTTCAAGGATAACCACAACTGTTGCATGCAGCATGGATCTGACCAAGTATCCAATGGATAAGCAGACATGTACTTTGCAACTGGAAAGCTGTAAGACTTTACTGCTGTTATTTTTATACAATTAGCAAAATAACTGTGGCCTCTAGTTAGGGCTGATGGATGTTGGATATTGCTGAAGAGGCTGGGATTTTCAGGTGCTAGGGGGCAGCATGTGACTGTTTCCTACGGAATTCCAATAGTGTTTGTATACATAGTAAATGCCAGGGACTTCAGTAAAAAGCATGGCAACGCACAGAAATATTAACATTAAATAAAAATTTGGAAGATTGTAGACCTACGTCTGCACTGCATTCTGTATAGGTCTTGTACTGTTTTTCAAGGGCAGTTCTGCAACCAGATACTTTCTAGCAGAGCCAAGAAAATCAGTTGTTTTATTTGACTTTTGCCTTTTTTCCTTCTTCCAGATATTATGTAATTTCTTTCCTGAGGCATATCTCCCTTAAGAAAGAAAAAAAAAAACAAGATAAGGCTTATTGGTGGGCATAGAATTCATATTTAATTAATTTACTGTCTTCATTTGAAAGAAGGTAATTGCATAGGCAGTTCTATTCTGAGAAGGATATACACAGATCCTTCTCCGACTTATTTAATTGTGTCTGTGCCAGTGCCCTGGGAAAAAAATGTCATCACTGAGACTGAATATCCTGTTCTAGATTCTCATTTTATCAAGCAATGTTGTCCTATTTTTCATTAGAATATTCTCCTTTAATGCTTGTAAAGATGCAGTGCCAGCAAATACCCAACAGTGCATGTTTAATTTTTTTGCTGTTATTTATATGAATAAGGCTCTCAAAGATATTTTTGCATGGGACAACATCAAAGGGTATCTAATCCTATTAGAAGAAAATGTGTGTTCTGATCTGAAGAAATACATTTGGAAGGTTTTCCAGAATTTGTGAGGGTCTAGCATTTCAGAGGTGTGATGTGTTCTCTGTTTCCTGATGATAATGACCAGTTACCAGATTGCTGCAGAGCTTAGACTGAAGCACAAAGGGAATCTCTTTCCAAACCTTCCTCATCCAGAAATTCCTCTAGAATCAGCAGTTTTGAAAGGATAACATCTGTATAACAAAAAGCAATTTGGATCCATCTCCAAGATAATTTTGTTTGAAAGAGCGTATTACTAAGTCGAACAGTATATATTGGTTTACATCAACGACATTGTTTAATGAGTCATTTAGGTTTTTTCTTGTCCCAGAATGAAATATATGTCTCTCAGGAACTTTAACTTATTTGACAAGATTAGAAAAAAAAAATGGAATTCCTTCTGTAATTAAAACAAATATTTTTCAGAGTGATTCCATTTGTTATTTCAAACAACATACAAGTGTCTCCTGTCTAAAAAGAAAATGTAGTAATGTAATCTCAAATGTTTTCCTGTCAGTGGTATTTAGTTTTGAGGAAAAGCAGCTAGAAACAAAGAATGCAAGAGGAATATGCCTTTAGCGGTGGCCCTTGTCATCTAGTGTACTGTAATACTTTCCTTTGAGTACAGTACAAATGGTGTTTGCTCCCCTATGGGCTAAACTGTGTAGTTTATAGATGGATAATGACAATCCTGGAATATTGCTTGTGAATGCCATTACCTGGATGAATTGTGAATGCAAGAATGCATGCACTTCAATAAAAACACAGATGTGTATCAATAAAAATGCAAATATTTGAGCTGAAACAAGGTGTTAGGCTTCCTAATGAATGAATGCAAGAGTAAAGACAAAATAACAGATTATTATCATGGAAGAGATTTTGGAAGACATCATTATTGCAGATTATACACACGTACACACACAAACATCCTGGTAGCCTTTACAACATGCTGTTCAATTAGTAGCCATTTAGCACTAATTGACATACTTTCTACAAGATAAGGACTTTCCAATTACATTTTCTATTGGATATGATTTTTTTTCCCCTGTTATTCCCCTCCTTCAGAAGATTGCACAGACATATGAAGAGGGAGTTGCAGTTCTGGGTCTCCAGTGATGCATGAAAGGTGACAGTTGGGGACCTGAGGGACTTGGGTCTGAGTCTGACAGAGGGGAGTTCTGGCTCTACCTTGTGGCAGAAAGCACCACCCTTCATTCACGGTGAATCATGTGGCTGAAGGCTTTTTTTCCCTCAGTCTTTTCCCCCACAGGCCTCTAGTCCAGATCCATGTTAATTTTTTGTGCCTGCCTATGAAATTTTATTCCCTTTTTGAACTTGTCCTTTAGCTTTTATTCAATGAAGGGCCATGTAATGGCTTTTAACTTGTGCTTGACCATCAGGGGAAATTAAAATTAGTATCAGAAACTTAAACTCATTTGTATTAGACATTATGAATGTTTAATTCCAAATTTACTATTCATGTTATTAACCCTGTTGACATTTGTTGCTCATACTATATCAATAAATTACAGAAGTGAGACATTTCAAGCTTGAAGAATTATAATGAGAATTTAGTGTCATATAAAAAGAGCAGCTTACTTATAAAAGCCAATAATAAAGCTTAAGGATCTTTTCAATGCAAGTCTTTAAGACTTTTTATAATTATAAAGTATTAATCCCCTGAAAAAAGAGAACTTTATAGAGGGAGCATGTTGATATTTAACTTTCCTAAATGTTGGGAAGACTGTCTTGATTCAATTTCTTCACATAGAGTTGTGAAGTTAGTATTAGAAGGTGTTTTCGTATGAAAGTCTACCAAAATCTGACAGCTGTATCAGAATACTTTGGGAAATAAATAGTTCTACTAAAGCAGAACCTCCTTCTGGGGGTATGCTTATTATCACTGTCTGAGCATTCAAGAATTTATCCACACCCCCAGCTGCTTGGGAGAATCAATATTCGATGAAGACAGATAAGAACCTACTTTGCTACACTCTAGTTCTTCGGATATAATCTAAATTATCTACAGTGTAGCTTTACTGAACAGCAGTAAAATGAATTTGTGCCTGGAGGCTTGCCTAAAAGTCTGCTTCTACAAACATTTTATTTTGATTGGTGACAGTGCAACCATTTGTTTATGGCATATACTGCTTTTATTTTTCATCAGCCCAGTCTAGGAAATTTCCCACATGTAGTACTATTGGATCAGGATTTTGGCTTGTGCACCTGTGCTTTTGGCTTAGTTGTTCAGTGCAGTGGTGTTTTGGCCTTAATTACTATAAGTGTGATAATGAGCACAGAGCCCTAGTCACACTTTTCTGGAATACTGCCTGTGCTGGTGAAACAGGATCTACATTTGGAGACTAGAGAATTTGCAGATGAAATTGTCACTTTAAGCGCTAATCAGGACAGTGTTTCCTTGAAACTAGATTTCTGAACTCCTGTTTTTCCTGCCTAATGTTAAAGCTATTAATACAAAAATAGCAAAATTTCATATTTCTGTGATTCTAGAGCTGTGCTGTTTTGCAGCATGTATATACTTTTGCAATGTATTGCATCGTGGGTTCTCAATGTACAATTGAGTGGAATCTAAAAATAATCATGGGATCTTATTTCTGTCCCTAAGCTTTGCTATTAAAATGTACAATATGTCTGTCAAATACAGGAGTGATCAGTCTAGGTATGCTAAAGGAAAAGATGTTCAAATGCTCCATCTTAACATGTAAATTATATTAACATAATCTTGAATTAATGATATATATACTACTCTGAAAATTGCCAGCTTCTAATATAATGGGAACATGAAGCTATTTTAGTTATGCTGTATATTAAGTGTGTGCAAAACACATGTCCTCTGGTAGATGATTCTTACAAGCCCCTTACAAGTGCTCCCTCCCTATCTGAAGGGAAGGGAAATTCTCCTAAACTCTGCAGGACTGCTTGGGGTGCCTGCAAAGCTCCCTTTGCAAACCATGGTCCCATATCATGGTGCAGCCTGGTTTCAGAGTGAAGTTGGCCATGAGCATCTCTTATTTCCTCTGATCTGCTCAAGGGAGGACCAAGCTCCCTGGGGCCAGTTTGCAGGTCCCACCAACTGGAGGACAAGCTCCAGGCATGCTCAATGCTCAGTCTGAATGCTGGAAGTGCTATAGGTCATGAAAACTGTACTTCAATGCTTAATGGCTTTTGCCTCTAAAATACCATGTGGTACTTCTCTCTTTTGTTAGTTTGTCATGTATACTGTAATAAAAGATAAAGCACTCTTTTCTTCCAGAAGGGACAGCTTTCAATGATAGGATTTTGCTGTTCATTTTTGGGCAGTTTTATTGTGAACAACCATTATGTTCTGCCAAAAAAGTAATTGTTTATACTTAATTGTGCTTTCAGGCAGACAAATAAGAAACAGCTGAAACATAATTGCACTCAGCACAAATTAATTACTGTGTAAAATAAACACTTTCATTGGCTTGTGTCTCTCTACAGGGGGTTACAACATCAATGATGTCATGTTTTACTGGACTAGAGGAAATGATTCAGTTCGAGGTTTGGACACACTCAGACTAGCCCAATATACTGTAGAGGACTACTTTACTTCAGTATCTGAGGCCGTGTATGAGACAGGTAAGAATATCCTTATAGCAGTTTCTGTGATCCTCTTAGCATGGTATTTCACACTTTGCCAGTGAAATTACATTCTTGAAACCATCTGTGAACCTTTTTTTGTGTTACCTGCAGAGACTTGGTTAGTACAAAAGTTGACGTTTCAGCATTTTCACCTAGGCTATGCATTTTCTAAAGAGTGTTGAAGAAATGTGCTATTTCCAAGTAACATCAGGCAGAATCCTTATGCGGGGAATAAGGCTGCAGGTTGCATTTAAATGTACAGGCAGCACTGTACAGGTGGCCTGGCCCAGTTTCCCTGTGCCCAGACGGGTCAGTGGAGCAGCCCCAGACCTCTGCTTCTTGCCAATGTTAGAAAACAGCTGTAGGAAGTTTCCTGAGTTTCCTCTGTCTGATTTGGCCTCATGAAAGGGTCTGCTTCAGGTTATTGCAAAGTTTTTGAAAGAGTGCAATACCTGGCAAGCCTTTTGAATTCCTTTCAGGTTCTTTATTGCTGGTCTTGACAGCAGTTTGCCTCCTGCCCAAGCCACCCATATTCAGTGAGGACACAGGCATCCTTCAAAGCTGTAGTTTCACCAGACTCTGTGTTAACTGAATCACAGAGATGCTCTCTATTGCATTGCTGGGAATTTCTACTTAAGTGATGAAGCGCAGAGAAACTTTACAATCTAATTTTGGGTACTAAATCAGGCTAAGAGTCAAAGTTCTCTAAGTGGATATAAATGTAGAAATGAAATACAAAATAACAGACTACGGGATCACGGTTATCTTGCTACTTACATAACTGGCATCTGCTTACCTCTGTATAGCTTCTGGCTAAACAAAATGAGGTTCAATCAATGGAAAATAACCCTCTACTGCTCTTCTGCCCAGAAGGCAGAAGGGTATTAGGACCTGTTCACCATGCAGGAAATGAGGAATAAAAAAAGGGTCAATTCTAAATCACCTTCTATCACTGAATTCAGAAAGGAAAAAAAAAAAAAAAAGAGAAGAAAAAAAAATTACTTTTCCCAATTAGAACTAAAATGTAGCCAAAGACATGGTCAGATGAACTGTGCTCTTTCTAGTAGTTGATATTGTTGTCTTCTTTCCTTTATATTGGTAGTAAGCATGTCTATGAAGTTAAAAGATGCTTTGTTTTATTTTAAAAATGTTTTAATCTATGAAATTTCCCTTATCTGCTTGTTGCTTGTTATCTTGTTCGAGAAAGCTACATTTAAATGTATGCAGGACATTTTTAAGGGAATCTCATAATCCTCTTTCTATTGAGTCTTTAGGAATTAGATGTTATTTCCTACACATATTTTAGGAAGCAGTGCATGCTTTAGCTCATTTTAAAAGGAAAAAAAATACAGTTCTATGTAATCAATTTAGAAGTGAAAAATGATTTTCATTTAACATATGAAAATATCTGAAAGTATTTTTATAAATAACAGCTATTATCAATGCCTTAATACTAGAAAAAAGCAGTGTGCAATATTTCCTAATATAGCAAAAACGCAATCAGGATTTGATACTGTGAGCATGTAGACAGATAGTCCAGCTGTTGCACAAGGGAAAGCTGTGCAATGAAAAGCCCAGGTTCACATAACCACTGACAGAGCCAAAATTAAAATACAGTAATCAGCAGAAGTCCTGCATAAGTGATCTTAAAAGGACATCAAGGATTAATGTTGTTTACAGAATGCTATGTATCTTGTAATAGTAATCATGTTATTGTAATAGCATAATAGTAAGTTGCTTTGAATAATGTTAACTGGATTTCTGGCTAGGGTTTGGCATTGGTTTTGTGTTACAGGATAGTTTCAATCTGAACCTGTGTGAAGCCGTTGTAATAACCACCTCCTACATGTCTTTAATATTTACTCTTAAAACATTGATACACTCTGGGGCCCTTGGAAAACCAAACATGTGCATTAGAGACTGCTGGGTTATTATCTTAGCTGTCTAGCCAGTCCTCCTTCTCCATAGCAATAAATATAGCTATGAAGAGCTTGCCTTATTGGAAAAACAAAAACAACTAAGGACATGCTAGCTTTTTGTGTAAATAACCGTAGAAATAAGTCTGGGATAGACTTTTAAGAATTCATTTAGTCTACTCATGTCCCAAGGCAAGAACATCTATATCTGCAGCCTGACGCATAGCTTTAATAGTAAGTTAGACAAGCTTGCATACTCCATAACCTCCCTAGGTAATTTTTTGATGGTTACTACAGCCATATTTTCATTGTGTCTAGTCTAGATCTCCCTTGATGCTCTTCTAACCTATTCTGCTCTGCACTGGCTACAGGAGACATACAATTTTTCTGTTTGGGTAGCTGATGATTCCTGAAAATCCCTATCCTTGGAGATTTCAGCACCTTGACTGGGTGTACTTCACTCTATGCAGGAGCTGTGTGGTTCTGGCCACTATTATGCAGGAAGTCTTTCTCTCCCAGGTCCCCAGAAGAATTCACAGCTAAACCAGCAATGAGTGTATTTATAATCAGCAATTTGAATATCAATAGGTATATGAAGATGAAGAGTATATGAGTTGTATGGAAATGTAGTGAATAGAGTGAATATCAAGACATAGTGGCCTGAAAGGTTCTTTTATGGTAAGTTGGATGGACACAGGAATTTTTGTAGATACACTATGTGGAACGGTCTATCTAATTCTAAGGAAATCTGGTTTTCAAGCTTCATCTTTTGTGAAGCATTCTCATGAAGATGAATCACATCTCTCAGAGAAATGGGATGTGATCTTTTGTTGTCCTTAGTTCCCTTATGAAGAAAAATAGCTAGAACAGGAGATGAGGTATTTTGAAAGATCTTGACCGTGAAGAACAAAAGATAGCAATTGTTTTCAGTGTTTTCTGAGGGAAAGATAAAGTAGGAGCTGTAATAACTTACTACCTATATTTTTGCACGATATACATCCTGCATCAGTCAGAAGTTGTTGCAGTTCCACAACTTGTTTGTGGGATGAAAGTGGGAAACACTAGTCATTTCTGACACATGTCCATCCTAAACAAGCTTTATAAAATGTGCATGCAGAAAAGAACATTTTCAGCACATAGCTAGAACAGTACATTTCTATTTAAATCTTTACTATGTCCTTAAAAGGTAAAAACAACAGAAGAAAATGTTGCTTTGGTAGAGTTACACTGATGCCCTTTTGTGAGATGTACATCACACGTTTTAGCTGGCACCCAGGGGGTTAGCATCCATATTTCATGATGGAGAAGAATATGCTCTTTGTGCCTGGCTGCACACCTCCGTGCAGGACACCAAAGTGCTGCTTACGTAAAGAGTGGAATATTTTCTTATTGCAGTAGAGTTCATCAAAAAGTTCACAGGAAATAAGTGTGGGAGAGATGTTCCTGTCCTGTAGCAGGAGTGGAAATTAGAAAGGAAATGCAGATGGCTGATACCCTTTACAAAATAGGACGACTCCTCCAGACTCCTCTCCTGTGACCATCAGCTGAGCAGGGGGAAGCAGGAAGAGCAGAGGTCCACATTCTTGTCCTGTTCAGCCAGGAGGAGACACTACAAAGTGATTTTTGGCATAATCAAAAAATGGATTGCACGAGATCAGAAACCCATGTTTAGTTTTTCATCTGTTCTCCTGTGGTACTGTGACAGTCATGTTGATAAAATCATCATTATCTTGGTCCTGGGTATACAGTATGATCAATGTTGTAAATTAGGATGCCATTTTAGAAGCCAAAATCAAAAGTAAGAGTTCAAAGCCAAGCTATAAAAATTATAAACTATTTTTTTGCACTTTCTCAGACCCTGGACCTGCTCAACCCCTGAGAAAGGAAGTCTATGCTGGTGTGACTTTTATGAGAGTAAAAATGAAAGTATTTAGATGAAGCAGCTAAAATGTGATTTCTTACACCTATGCTTTCTCAGATACTCGCTTTTAAAGCAGTAGGGAGAGCTTGAGTAGAGACTATCTGCTATTCAGATTTGTGAGTAAGAATGAAGTGAGGGGGAAAACCTGCCAGTTTTTGAGGGTAAACATGACCCATACTTGAGTTAACTCAGGTAAAGTGGTCCCAGGATTGCATGATCCTGTGTTTTACTTTTGATCTGCCTTGCTTGATGAGATCACAATTTTTGACTTGCTGATCAAAGGCAATGGTGTGAGCTCACTGCACATCCTCTGCTGTCTCATATGCATCCACCATAATAGTGGTAGAGAATCTCACATTTTTTTAAACATGAACTTTTGGTAAGCATAAGTGAGAAAGGAGCTACAATAGTTCCCTACCCTTGTTTTGTGCCATTGCTCATTTCTTTAACATACTCTGTATCCTTTGTATACTTTTTCTTGCCTCCTCCTTCCTCCAATTTATTATAGGGGCTCAGATGAATTCTATATGCGGTTTGCCTCAAATTTTCTGTTATAAAAGCTTTTCTGAGCTCTGTAGAGAAATGTTGACACCATTATTATCATATTCATGGTATGTCTTTGGAACCTGGCAAACAGAAACCCTTAGGGCTAGAGAAACGCCTTTTCTTTGTTCACGAAAAAACTACTTGATTACAGACTGTTATATCTCTGTTCTTTTATTTGTATTGTTTCAGAAATGTATGGCATCAGGAAAAATAAAATCAATGAACATTCAAAAGGCTTGTCTGCACTGAGAAGTTACAGCAGAATGGCAAAATGTCTTTCAAGTTTAATATTTTTAACCAATTTCCTGTGTACATATAGAGTTTTATGTTGAGATGAACCAAAGTATATTTTCAGGGAGTTTATGAAGAGAATAGTTGCTCTCCAACTACCCTGCATTAGCTGCTTGAGAATTTTCCTTCTTAAAGAGCAGTAAGAATGAGCCATGAGAACCCACATGTGCCTGTAGTCCAATAATTTTGCTCCCCTTTCTGTGGACATGGTGCCACAATTTTCTGTAATGACAAATGACTTCTGGGAGCCTGCAAATACGGTCAGCCTAGGTAATCTAATGATCCCTTCTGATTTTGAGATCTATGGCACTTTATTGTTTTTTTTGTTGTTGTTGCAATTTAAACAGTATTTTTAAAACCTGAAATTTAACTATCCATTTTCTAGTCTGGGAGCAGTAAGGCATTTCTTGCCATCCATTACTTACACTTAAAGCTTTTGAGTGCTCTTGTTTGACTTCGTGTCTCAAAGTGCACCTGAGGGATGCAGAAATAGCCTCATTCTGCATGTATCATTGTTGCTAAAGTGCATTCAGACCTCTATAGTTCAGTCCCAGCTCACAACATGCAGCTTTAGAAAAACATATGTTCTGAAGATCATCTTTTGTCACATAAAAAATAGATGAACCAAAGCCATCTGACTATGGTGTATGCATTTTGCTTTTGTTGATATTTTGCTACAAGTACTAATCAAAGAACTTTAAAACCTTTAAAGCTTGATTTTGAACTTTGAATTTATGAATAAGAAGTCTGCTCTGCAAATTAAAGTAATAAAAAGGCAAAGTTTTTCTTTACTTTGATCAGACAGGTACATTTCATATCCTATGCTGCAGTTGCCCAAACATAGTTGATTTTTGCTCAATTAATAAGCTAACAGGCAAGTTCAGGCTTTGCAAGTGCTAGTCCCTTAGAAATCCCAGATCTGGTTTTGATGTTGGCCCAAACTTTTGGTTTCTGTAAAGACATTTGGACCACGGCATCTGCACTGCTCAAAATAAGACCAATGCTGTAATGGAGTAATATATAAATAAAAGGTAGTCAGGGACGATGCCAATGCATGGATTGTTAAGTGGAATATGAGGGTTAGATGAGCAGTATCAAAGAAAATATTTTTCAGTCTTTCATTTCATGTCTTGAGCAATTAGAAGTGAAAATAAAAGCAAAACAAATCAGATGCATGGCAGTTAAATAGATGGATCCATGTTAACTTCATAAAATTATAACAGTTATGTTCTATATAGTAACTCATTGTGGTAGCTCTTATGAATAGCTATGGCTAAGTTTATACATAAATGCAAATTCTTCTCCTTGCTTAATGTTATGTGATGAAATGTCCTTTCTGTGCAGTAGTGGATTTATTTCTTCCTTTGTTAATCCCTGCTGAATCCCTGGGTCAAGACATCTTTAATGAAGCTTTGTACATGAAATTTTAGGGCAGTACATAATTTTTATTTTCATTTAATTCAATATAGAATCTTCATGTTATAGGTTTTTTCAAGCTTATTTGTTAATCTTTTACTACATAGTAATGTGCAATGAAAATTCACCTGTTCTTGACAGCATGTGAAAATGTATAAAGAGAAATAAAAATAATACTAATTTAAAAGCTTTTTCTCTAAAATGCACTATCAAATGTCACTTTAGTGACCAGTCCTCTCAATACTTTGTTTTTTGCTCTATCCACAGGACGTTATCCAAAGCTGGTGTTTCATTTTGAACTCAAGAGAAACATCTTTTATTTCATACTGGAGACGTACGTGCCATCAATCCTCCTGGTTGTGCTCTCTTGGGTATCGTTCTGGATAAGCCAGTCATCTGTTCCAGCCAGGATCTGCATAGGTGAGAAGCCAATTAAACAAAACAAAAGCGGCATTGAAACATTAGGACGTGTTCTTTATTGCTTGTATATGGCATCAATTTCCAGAAGAGGCAGGCGTTTGTGTGCTTTATGGAATGACTTTTCTGCTCTGCTCTCTGTGGTACATCTTGCAGCTTCCCCTTTGTGCCTTCTTATCCATAAGCAAAGAAAACGTCCTCGGGAGCAATGGGAGGCTTGGTAGGCTGTGGGAAGTCATCCTGGAAATCATTTCAAAATATTCAAGTGTGTGTCATGCCCCAACAAAATTAGGAGGCATTTGTGAGGGTGAAGAATACCTGTAATTAACATATGAATAATAAGGGAATTATGAGAGATTAAAAGTAATTAATTTTAAATAAAGGGAATTCTGAATTGGAAAGAATGCAGATCAGTTGTGATCAGACAGTGAATGGATTGGAAAAACATTCTACAGAATAGGTAAGAAAAATTTCTCCTTTAGCGAGGCCAGCAGGCAACTATAACAAGCTGATAGCAGCATTCCCAACTTCGCTTGTCAGTCTCAGCTGTAACTTCTTTGTGTAGTTATGAGAAATGCTACAAATTCTTACAGAGAATGTGTTGCTTATGTGTTACCAGTGATTACAGAAATTATGTTCTCTGTTTTTCATTTAGTCTGAAATGTTTAAAGAGAGAGTTTGCATAATAGTCTAATAATAATGCAATATTAACAGCTATGCATCATGTGGCATCTAAATCTCTTGTGTGAATTTCTGGTATTCTCAGCAAATTTTTTTGAGTGTTTTCAAATTTATATCTTCAGAATTACAAATGCATTTAAATATATTAGTTACAGAACATGACACATGGAATGGTGTGGCATATTGTTTACAAAGCTCAGGAAAAGAAGTCCTAAATTGCAGCTTTAGAGATGCAGTTGAGGGCCTCATTATGCTCCTTGTTTTATCAGAACTTATTTTATGTTCCCTAGGTGTCACCACGGTCCTTACTATGACAACACTCATGATGGGAGCCAGAACTTCACTCCCGAATGCTAACTGCTTTATTAAGGCAATTGATGTGTACCTTGGTATCTGTTTTAGTTTCATCTTTGGAGCTTTGCTAGAATATGCAGTGGCTCACTTCTGCACTCTGCATCGACCCATTTCAAAGGACCTTAAAAAGGTATTTTAAATCTTCTGTTGAAGTTACATGAAACTGTTTTCAATGTTTCCTGCTAAAGACAATGAATCCTCTGACTTGGTATTAATAGTAAAATATATTTAAGGAGTTTTGTAATTTAGAATTGTGAGAGTGAAAAAACTGAAGGGGGAAAAGGTCATTAACTTTCTTGGAAAAGATCAGACAAGCACATTGAAGCACTCTTCCATAGTGGTTGTGTTTTCTGGCATGGATGGCATGTGCTGTGGCATGGATGTTATAGACACTCATCAAACAATGTTAGCTGTAGCACAAGTCATGAGTGCTTGTCTTTTCTCCAAGAGCAGCCCATGCTAAAGGTGCAAAAAGCCAATTGAGGGCAATAATATGGTTTGAGGGGAAAGGAAAAAAAGGGAAAGAATACATCTTCATCTATAAAACCTTCTGTGCATGCATGGTGTATCAGTGTACCAGCAATGCATTAGGTTTATCAGGCAGATGCCTGTAGCCTTCTACCTTTGCCTTCCCTCTCAAAAGCTGGAGCTGAAACTCAGGCTGACTCAGTTTTGCATCATCATTATGGCAGCTCTGATGTTGCTGTCTTGGCTTGCCAGAGCTGTGGGCTGAGAATTTGCATGACGGGAGCCACCTTTTTATTTTGAAGCTATTGGGAAATATATCTAAAATAATAGAAGCTCAAATCAATATAAGCATTTCAAGATATTTTCATGAGTCACATCATGAGTTTCACTTGTCACATCTGCCATCTGCAATTTTTAGCACTTCTTTCACAAGCAGTGAGGAAGAAAGTACCAGGAAATTGGAAACTGATTTTGTAGATTTTAATTACAGACCTGAGTATATGCATGTTAGAATGGTATTTATGAAATTTCTGGATAATTAGAAAAGCTTGCATGTTTTAGAAAGCCTGGAACATGGGAATAACATGAAAAATACAGGAAGATTGTGGGGATAAATAGAAAAAGAAAGCTCAAATTATTTGAATAATAATGCCTAATAAAAGCTCCTTAGTTCTTTTAAGAAAAGCAAGATACCGAGTTCAAGTCGAGAAGCTTAAAAACAAGGACCGATCAAAAATCCTACGTAGCCTAGGAACTAATACAGGATTTTGGTGACTTGGAAGTGAGATAAGCTCTGTAAATGCGCAGGGTTATGGGACGCTTTTTCAAACTGTTGTCAAGATCCAGGCATACTATGTATGGTTAAAAAGAGCACATACGGTTGAACCAACTGGGGCGACAGGGGGGAGTGGTCAGAATACAAAATCTAACTGGGGAATGCCTAAAAATGGGCAAAAACTGGCTCTGAATGCGGATGTGAGTGGGAAATCTGCGTGTCATTTTTTTTGGTAAGGAAGCATCAGACTTCTCCCTCTAAGCGTATCATGGTGAGGAAAATGACTGTCACTTTTCTCAGAGTGGAAAGGGGAAAAAAATCTTAGTGGAGATGTTGGGTAAGCAAGTGAAATGTTACAGTGTTTGGATGATTGAGCATCATCAGATGTGTGAAGTGCCCTTATGGCTGCTCTGGCTGTAGCATATCTGTGTTCTGAATTTGCTGCTGTTATCGAGCCCAGATGCTCATGTGTGCAGCTGGGAGTAAGGGATGGAGCAGCAGACATGGAAACTGCTGCATCTGGAAGACTTGTATGGAGGTGGGTAGAGGGACTGCCCTGAAGCAAAGAAGGAGCAGGGCTTAGCATTTTTATGGTGTGCTGGTGACTAAAGGGGTGATCTGTCACTTGAGGTATGTCTCCAGCCACCTCTGCATCACTGCTAAAAATCAGGCTAAAAAATCAGGCAGAGAGTCAGTTCTGACAGACTGAAAAATGCCCGAGGGGAAAAAAATAGTTTTCTTTTAAATCAGCAAGCAAATCTAACTGACTTCTTGGCAACACAAACACAAGCAATAATATAACTGAGGGGGTGGTTGGCTGGTCCTAGAGATCAGCTAAAAATTCCTTAGAGTAAGGAAAGTGCCTGTCGTGCCCTTTTTCTTCATCTAAGGCAAGCACTGTTTAAAAAGAGCAGGGTTCTGTGTAGAGAGCACCTGACTTCTAGCTTTTATTTCTCACAAAAAAAAAAAAACCACAAAAATAAAACAAACAACCTAAGACTAGAGGCACTAGCTAAAATTTCATGCAGTCAATAGCTACTTAGCTAATTTCTGTGCAAGTATCTTCTCCATAAATTTGGTCCCCTCATTACTGTATTCTCTCAAGGACACAGGGTAATTAGAAATCTCACTTTTAAGTTTGTTATTCTCATATGCAAAGTTGATACAGAATTTGCACTCAGAATTATTTAAATAAATGTAGAAGGCAAATTGAAACCACTTGGAAAACGCATCCCTCTACCTTGTATAAGAATTAGTTGTCCTGTGGTCTGGTTTACTCTTTAAAACAGATGGCTACTGACATATCAAGTTTTTCTGAAGCCTTAGAGATTTCCAGTTAATAATATAAGCTGGTGAAACAGCTCATCATCTCTCTGCGCCCGCAGTGTCTTGCATTACGTGAACCAGGACGCACAGGGACAACTTCAAAGCTAATGACAAAAGCAGAGGAACCACCTGCTGCAAGAGAATTCAATCAAAAAGTACCGTTTGTGTCAACTTCCCCATGGACTGCCTAAAGAGAACCGTTGCCTCTCCAAAATCCTGACTTCTATATATATGTGAATTGTGCTCTATAAAATAGAGAAGCTCTCTTGGAATTCATCTGTGCAACTGAAGCTTCCTCCCCTTTGTAGCAAAGAAGAAAAGTTTGCAAACTGGAACTAAAGCTGCCCTGAAGGACCAGGGCAGTGCTCTGCATGCTCGTGCTCATTTCTGTGCAGGCATCAGCTGCTCTTGCAAACACTGAAGAAGCTCCAGGTGCCCCAGTAACACTCACTCTTGAGATGTTTTTAATCTTGAATGTCTATAATATGTGGTAGAAGTGACATCTTTTCTAAATTGTATGAGCTGTTAGGTGTCAACAGACACTTCAGTTGATATAAACAAGAGCCACATACCATCTAATAGTGCTTTTCAGCTCTACCTTTCTAACTTTGTGTCAAACCAGATCTCCTCTTAGTGTCACGTGCTGCTTCCACGGTGAGAGGTGGCACTCAGAAAACTGAATAGTGAGTTGTTCAAAATTAGAGCCCAACTTAACTTTCTTGCAGCCCGATTTCATTGCATTCAGGTGACACAGTGGCGTTACCTAGAAGGGAATAAAGAACAATCTAATACAGCATCCACCTCCTGTGAATCGTTCACATGCAGTTGGGTGAAAAGCAGTACGCTGTGTCCTTCCGTGCTCTGCAGTGGAGCTAATTCCCTACGACTTCCAGCCAGCCCTACCAACCCCAGGGACGAATAGATTCTTGGAGTGACTAATGTCCTCAATCGTGCCGTTTTTGATGTATAGAAGTTGTTTTGCTCTTTTTCTCTTTCGAAGAAATGAGAACGCTGGGAAAAGAAAGGAGAGAGAGAGAGAGAGAAAAAAGGATTCTTCTGACTGGTTTTATCATTAGCTCCTGGAGTGCCAAGTGCATGTGTGGTGCAGTGGCTTTGGAGCTGTGTATAAAGTGATGGCCATGTTACTCTGCTGAGCCACATGAACCGTTTGAAGGAGAAGTTGATATTTATAAGAGAGTTAGGCCTCAAGTAAAACTCCACTTCAGAGTTTTGTGCTACCCTGGGGATTGTTTAAGGCCCCAGCTGGAATTTTATGGATTGATCCTCAGTGCTTTTATAGGATGATTTTTATGCTGGTTTCAAAATTTGCACATACCTGCAGGAGGCTAGATGGAGAACGAACAAGTTTTTGTAGTCGGTGTATTCTGGGGATGACACATTGTGTTCAGCAACATTTCTCTCAAGTAAAATATACAAGACTCTTTTTCAGCATATCAAAATGAAAAGCAATAAAACCTTTTTTTTCTAGCTTATCTGTTCTGCTTCACTGATGCACAGCAGTCTGAGGACATTGTCCAGGCTTTGCTTTAATTTTCAAGGGCATTACTAATATTAGATGAAGAAAGGCCTAAGATCTCTGCCATGTAGAAGTGTGCTGGGCAGGAAAGCAGTTCTGCACTGGCATGAAGATGGGTCAGACAGTGTCGTGGGTTCTCCTTGTCTTTCGTAGGTGTGAGATTTGTAAATGAGCTGTTTTTTAATGGATGCATTTGTTGACTTTTCTAAAATATAAAGTTTCTCCTTGTTTACTCTGGATCTTTTCATGATGCAAATAGAAGAAGCTAAAAGGTGAGAGAAAAGGGGTTCTTCAATATTCATTTTGCGAATTTTATACTTTTTTTTGCTTGTAGGTTGTTGTTTGATTTAGAAGATAAAAAAGCATCACAAGTAACTTGAGGAAAACAATATGCCTGAACTCAAACAACCCTTTCTCCTGCTATCCAAAGTTAGATTTAGTTTAGATATGAAGTCAGGGCCAGATTTTGTGGCTCAGTCTGCTGGTGTCTCTGCAATATTCCAAACCAAAGTAAATAGAAACTTCCTTGAAAGTTATGGAGTATTTAGAAGTGGAATTGCGGCTAATGTTTAATCCTGTGTCCTCTGAGCCAGTAACAGACGGGCTTTGCTAACTTCAAAGGGTGCAGATTTCATACATGAACTTCATGGCTCTGAGCCATTTCTAATCAAAAAACCCAAACCCCACCAGAAGGCTTATCCAGCGTTCTCCAAAGAACTGGCTTGATGCAGTGAAGCACATAAACATGCCCTTAACCTTAGCATAACTTTGAATTCAAAGCATGGATTTCCAGACTTGAAAGTACTGAGAGCTGTCTAACATTGAATTAGTTGTGGGACTCATTTCTTTCTGTAATGTTTTTCATCATTTTGTTGTTTAACTGGGTTTTTTTGAATAAAATGGGATTCTCTGTGAGACACTGGGAAAAGCAGCCTGTTTAGCAAGAGGGAAGTATCTTGAATTCTGAACTGCTTGATGGGATGTCCAACCAGCTTGAGCAGCTGCCCTGGCATCTCCCCCAACTCCTCAGTCTCCAGACTGGGGCGTCTAGATGTGGACCTTTCTCAGAGTTCCTCTGGAGCAGCAGGTAGCTTTTTGTTCCACATTTCATGATTTTCTGTCGTCTTAGATAAGGCTCGGTGGGCTCTTTGCTGTCTTAGATAAAGCTCTTTGGGCTATTTGCAAATGCAGCCAGCTTTGCTTTACAGTCATAGGAAAGCTTTTGCTGTAAGTTGCTGTGTTTTGCCTGTATATGGAGGCTTTTAAGGCTGGAAGGAACTGTCTGGCATGTGTAGGTTCATTCGTCGAATCAAGGGCTGAGCGACAAAAAGACTCATAGGAAAATCCTGTTATTTGCCTCACATCTAAACTAAACAGGCAATGAAGCATGCACTTAAGTGTCTGCTGTGCTGTTTTGTTTCCTCTCAGGATGAAGATGAAGAAGCTGAGGAAGAGAGGAATGGAGTACTGGCAGCAGTTGCTAACAGTTGCAATGTCACTAACAGCATGAACAACATTGATCCTAACACGAAGAGCAAAGGCAGCATCAGTGGAAAAAGAGAGAGAAGTAAACACAGTGGGTGGAGTTCACCAATGTCAGTAATGAAGAGACTTTTCTGTATTTTTGATTGCTTTCATGTTAAAAATCCTTACCACATAGACAACTATGCCAGATATTCTTTCCCGTTATCATTCATCATAATAAATGTGTTTTATTGGGTATATTATTTGTATTTCTAAATATTTTAATCTGTGAAATAGTTTGGAAAGTGGATACAAGTAAGGGAAATTACACTAAAATGAGGAAGCTGCATTAGGATGAAAGGATATGAGAGGATGTCATCTTTTCAAGCATTTCTACCAACTTTCTGCTTAGCTCACTTTTCCTCTGTTAAGTAACTGTCATCTGAAATTGGCTTCCCTTTTGGCATGCTTGTCCCTTATTGTATTATCTGTCAGAGCCTTGTAAGGTTTTTTTATATTATTTAATGCTAAACTTTGTAAAATAAGTTTATACTTGCTTTTGAGCTGTGTTGAATATATTTAAAAATAAGACCAGTGTTATTCTCCTGCCATGCTTTTAGTATTGCTTTCCTTTTAGCTTTGTCAATAATGCATAAATTTTTTCAGACTATTCAGATTATTATGTAAAAAGTGTAATTGCTGATCAAAATGGTTTTTCTTACTAAGAAAAAGCAGATTTGCAATCATGAGGTACTTGTGCAAAACAGTGACATGGTCATGTTTAAAAGATTACAGGATCAAGTCTCTTTCCTAAATCTTTGTACTCATCTCTGATAGGCATCTCTGTGCATAAGCGCACAGCAGAACACAGAAATGGGTTGGAGACAGGATCCAAATTACTGCTTTTTCCAGGTGAGAACATGCTTAGATGTTGACCAGTCCTTATTGGAAAATGGTCACTTGTCCTGATGCTTAGTCACTATTGGGTGGGTCATAATTATTCAGAGGATAAATCCTATGTGCCTACTTTTTAGCTTAGCAAATTCCTCTTCCATCTCTTGCTGTTAAAATTTTCCCTTAAGATGGGGAAAAAAGGCTTCTTTCTTGAATTCAAAAGAAAACCCCTAGATATACAACAATTCTTGATGAGAAATGGAAGTTTTATGGCAGATCAAATTATGACCCACCTTGGAGAATGGTTTCACTTGATGAAAAAGCCTAACTATTTTTGAGTGGTAACTGCAGTGATAGATATTACAAAAACTATTGATGTTGCAACCTATTTTTTATACTGCAGTCTGGAAGTTTAGAAGCTCTTATTTTACCTTTTCTTTGGCTATAATTTATGTATAGGTTGCATATATAAATATAAATGTGTACATGTGCACTTATAGTGTTTACCTTGACACTTATTATGATATGACATATTGCACACATAGACAAGCATATAAAAATACAGAATATTAACACTCTTTGGGTCATCTTTCTACTAGTCTGCTGCTTGTGAAGAGCATCACTTCATTAGAAGAAGAAAAGTGTGAAATATCACTGTCATTGGATTTGAACCCTTACAAGAAATTCCCTAAGAGTGGTTTATTCATTGCACACTAGCAGACAAGTATTGTGTCATTGACATCTCTTTGGTATTTTGGTTTTCTAGACTGGTTAAATACTGAAATAGCTCACATGTTTGTGTTTCTTATCACTAATTCCATTTGTGGAGCTTATTGAGGCAATAGGACTTTAAGAACAATCTAGAGGGCTTTGTTTCTCTGTGGTCTCTTCTGACATACATAGAAAAGCATTTTTTTTCTTTTTTTTAATGTATTGCTGTTGCAGATTGAGCATTAAAGCCTCTGTGCAGGATTCTGAGAGCTATTCTTTTAAATGAGTTATGGAGCTGGACTTGGAGGTATTTTTCTGGTTCTTTCTGCCATAAATATACTAGGAGTCATACAGTAAAGCTCTCTAGTATCCCAAATTTGGAATTTGATACATTGATCTTAAATCATTTTAACAAGCCAACACACATATTGCAATTTACCTGTAGTGTTAACACTAAATTTGTGATTTATGTTTATTACATGTATAAAGTAAGCAGGGTTTGATATCTTCCAATTAATTTAGAACCAGTTCACCATAAATGTTGCTTTATAAAGCTGTAGAAGGTCTGGACAGCTTGATTTATTTATACTGCAGTAGCTGATCACAGGATCTGTTTTCCAAGTGATGTATGTGTAATAAGAATTAAAACCTGAAGTCCCCCGTGCTTTCAGAAAAGAGTAGGCTGCACAGCCAGATTATTTATTACCCTGGTTTGCATAATTCTGCACTAATTACAAATCTTAAAACAAAACTTGATTTGATTAATCTGTGAGGAGAATATATTCCCTCAAGGGAACAGATTTTTCAGTACAATGAATGAAGAATAAAGAACATTTAAATTATCCCTCAAACATACAAAACTGTCCCTGGGAACTATCAAATTCCTCAGTGATATCTGGAAAAGCTTTTTTAAGTAAGCAGCATTCAGGAGTTCTTTGGAGACTAAAATTCAGAGTTATATTAGATGAAATCTCTTATAGAGCTAAGAAAAAGGGCCAGAGCTCAGGTTGAGGCATTTAAGATTAGCCTCAAAAATAAGAATAGCTTTACTTTCATCCATTGTGGGTAGTAAAGGCTAAATTTTGACTTCCTGGGATAATCTTATGGCTTGTAGTTGTCTTCTGTTTCTTTTACTTGCATCAATTTTCATCTTTTCCACTTAGAGACCTTCTCTGACTCTGTATTTGAAAATGTCATATTTTGAGTATGAGATAAATGTACTACAAGGGACACCAGTGAGGTGCTCCAGCTGATGATGCACTTTCGTGTAATTTACTTTGCAGTTAGCAGGAGGCACTAATATTTGTGCTGTAGCTGAAGGCAGGACCCAGCACAGGGCATGAATTTCTCCCTCAGTGGGATATCTGCAGTGCTCATTTTTTGATTTAGCAGTCCTCTTGCAGGTGTCTAAACATTATGCAGCTCTGTCCCTAACAGAAAGATCTACTAAGATAAATAAGCCTTGGTCAAGCTAGTTCATTAAATATCATAATTATATCTACATTTATAGAGAGGGTTAGACATATGAAGGTATTAACCCTTGCAAACACTCTGCTTTGGTGGTTTATTTGCTTTTAGTCTCTGAAGCAGCTGTGTCATACGTGTGTATATTGTGCAACCTGTTAAGTGTTAGGATACTGTTTGGGAACTACTGAGAGGAGCTAAAATAATCCATGTAAATTGAAAGGAAATGCTAAAGCAGATAATATTAAAACAGGTATTCCCAAGCTTTCCCATAAATCAAGCAAGCATTTTTAATGGATATTAAGACATTTATTTTAAAACATGGTAAATAATTAAATAGCCCACCTGAATATTCTAGTCAATAAATGGCAAGCATTCAAGGGCATCCATCTGTTGATCCGAGCACCTGCTTTTCGGCACAGTGGCCACCTCTCTTATCAGTACAGCAGTAACTGCGATTGCTGCCTGCCCTTCCATGCAGGGCGTTTTGCTGCTGGTGCTGTTCCAAGAGAGCCGTGATGTCTTTTGACATGAGAAAATACATTGAAATAAATGATGCCCCAAGTTTTCACCGTACAGTTCAATAATAAATTACAAAAATGACTAGGGACTTGAGCAAAAATGCATCTCTGGTAAAGTAGAGAGAAGAGGAGGAAACAGAGGTGCGAACGTGCTCCTTTCTGCTGAAAGCTGTAGCCGGGGGTGGCAGAGCAGAGCGCCCAGGGTGTCACTGAGCACCATGCGACGCAAGGGGGACACTGCACAGCCGCTTTCGCCGGTACAATTCACTGCATGCAGCAGTAGATGGAGCTAATTAACTGCTCTTCATGAGTAAATGAGCCGATACACATGGCAAATGCTAGCTAAGGAGAGCTCCAGGGAAGGGCTGGCATTTGTACTGTGGTAACTAAGTCATGTTGGCAGTGACAGATTAATCAAAACTGCTTTGTTGGTTAAACTGTTGAGACTTGCTGCTTTTCATGCTAAAGCTCAGGCTTCTCCATCCCAGACTGTCCATCCCAGTCAACAGTCATGTAACACACCTGAATCATGACTGTTCTCTGCACATCTGCAAAGCAGCATTGCAGCCGTAAAACCTGGGGCTAGATGCCTAAATTTGCTGTCCTTATGTCTACTTATTATAATCTACAGGATGTTAAATTTCTAATGCGAGTCTTGCAGTATCTCAGGCATTTCAAAGCAGGCAGATCCTCCTCAGAATGGTGTCAGTGTCTCCAGTTTTCCTAGAAAGACTTAAGAATCCTAAATAAACTTGCCTAGGTGATTTGCTGGTTCTCTCCTCACTGTTGGCACCACAAGGTTCAAAGGAATTCTAAAAGCCTTCCCACTCTTGTGGGAAATTTCCCTTGACAAGGGGGGATTTTACACATTGGGAAGTGGAGAAGTGGAATTCTTTTGGGTTGATGAAACAGGTGGCTGCAAAAACAATCACAACCTGAGTACTGAAGACTAGATTAAATTCTGCTTACTGTGCAGAAGTGGGTGCTTGACAGTGCTTGCAGTAGAAGGGTTTGGCATGAGTTTTAGGTCTGTGAGGATTTACCATTGCTTGTTATATAACTTTATAATTGAAAACAGAGGTCCACTTTAATAATATTGCCAAATTCAACTTTCCATCAGTTTCCATCTGGAGACATCTTTCTTCCTCAATCCTGTCTCACAATCAAACTTTCCATCCTCAAAGAGAGGGATAAAGGGGCATTTAGGGTGTTTCAATCTCTTGATGCGAAGCTACCCATATAATTAGGATTCTAGGTGAGGTTTCAAACTGGAAGGGACCCTATTTTCCCATTCCAGATCAAACACAGCCAAAATTTCAGAAGAAAAGAGAAATCACGAGATACTAGCACCATAGCATATGCTCACAGATCAAAGCCCTGATTCACCTTACAACTCTGCACTGATTTAAATCTGTATTTAGCCACTGGATAACTTCACTTATATTAATGTACAAGCAGCCACAATATTGTTGCTTCCCTTGCAGGTAAAGGGAGGGGTTGCAGGTAACTGATTTTGTATTCTAGATCCTAAAAAGATTTGATAATGGGATTATTTGGTTTCTCAGAAAGGAGTGCTCCTTTTCTGCTTTAAGGGCAAGTAAGGAATGGACACAGAGCTGCAGCTCCTGCAGCGTGAACTCTTGGTGGCTGGCAGTTTTGGAAGCAGAACAAGCTGGCGAAGTTAGAGAAAAAATAACATGAAAGGATAAAATGGATTTCAAACCTGGATTCATATTGAGTTTCTCAGCTCACATACCCCTGACCCTCGTGCTGGCATCAGCGATGTTGCTATAAACAACATTCATTGCATTTCAGAAACAGAAACAAGTTTGTGAGAAGCTTTGCTACTGTGAGGAAAGCTAGTGTTGCACCCAATGACACATACTGGAGCCTGTCCATAGCTGTGTCATCTGCTCCTCACAAAATATATAGCAGCACTTCTGTTTTTGTCATAGATATCACAGAAAGACAGATGAGATCCTGGAATGAGTTTTACTTGGACTATAACTTTTTAAAGTAAAGACCTCTAATGATATCTCCTGCAGAGAAGAACACCTTCACTGTTTGCAGGATCTTGGGTCATCAGCTTCTCTTTAAAGACTTGCAGAGATAGGAAAAAAAATGACTATCTTCTCATTTTTTATATCCCAATTTCTTTAGGGAACAGTTCACTCCAATTTGCTGAACACATGCTTTGGAATGTCCACAGATCTTCCCCTCCTTCCCACAGAGACCTGAAGAGCCTTTGGAATCATATTTTTATCCCTAGAATCAGCATTGAATGGATTCTGCTAATACAAACTGTTGATATTTTCCATTCTTTGAAGTGACCTGGAGCTGGTTTATTCTACACCTGGCTCTGCCTAGGTCATATCATCAGCTGATCTGTTACTGCTGCAATTCTGGCCATGTTGTGGGCACTCCACAGGGAAAGGTCTGGTTTGATCCCAGTCTCTCTCTTTTTTTTTTTTGGTTTAATCCTTAATTTTACCCTGTTGCTGAGAGTTGTCACCCTTTGAGCCTCATGCGATCTCCCTCAGGAGTCTAAAAGTTCTGTAATTCTATCTATGTCCTGCTGTTGAATGAGTGAAATCCTTGCTGATGACCATGTTAAAGTTTTCAAGGCTGACAACATAACTGTGGGTCAAATGCCCAGCCTTGTGTCTTGCCCATCCAGTCAGGGTCTCTCATCTCATTATTTCAAGATTTTGAAATCCGCAGTTTCATGTGCTCCCAAATCAGTTTAATTATTACTGGACAATCTTGCGCACTGCTGGTCCAAGTTTTGCTAAGCCCAAAAGACATAATTCTGGAGTGATTCACACATCTCCGTACAAGATCCCAAATGGATGTCACATACGTGGCTGTCCTTGCATCCTTCCAGACCAGCTACACTTACAGATGCTTGCATGTTAATTCTAGTGGAGTAAACATCCAACTCAAAAATACAGCTTTACCGTAATTCTGTGACGGTACTTTCCAGCATATTGCAGATGCTGCTTAAAACCTGATGAACTTTTGGGGAAGTGAGGTGATACAGCTGCTGGTGCAGTAGGATTATCTGCAGTCAGTCCCCCTATGCAAACCCAAATAAACATGCTGTAAGAGCCCAAAAGGAAGAGAAAAAGATCATTTGTATTAAACCAATTTCTAACCTTTGGACAAATAATCTCCAAGCTGTGTTTAGCTTGTGTTGCCATGCATTGCTTTAGAGTCTTTGGAGTGTACCTATGCCCCTGTTTGTATGATTCAGCATCAGCTTAGCTTTTCTATAAA